AATAATAATAATAATAATAATAATAATAATAATAATAACAACAACAACAACAACAACAACAACAACAACAACAACAACAACAACAACAACAACAACAACAACAACAACAACAACAACAACAACAACAACAACAACAACAACAACAACAACAACAACAACAACAACAACAACAACAACAACAACAACAACAACAACAACAATAACAATAACAACAACAACAACAATAACAATAACAATAACAATAATAAGCCGTTGCCATTGCCATTGCCATTGCCATTGCACTGCAATTATGCAAAGGTAAACTACAATCAATTAACATTAATATTGCAGTGAGCCTCACAATAGTGAGGATCATAAGGATCATGTCCAGCAGGATTTTGTAACGTTCAGTAAAAAAAAGATGGCCCACACACACGAACAGTGACACCCACTGTCCCAAACCAGATATTGTGCACAGTTCATCAGGCCAAGATTTGTGGCCCAGGTTGGTTCCCGAATTTCTCAACTTCAGAGTGAGTACTTGACTTCAAAACTTTGATTTTACAGCTGCACCTCATTGACTGCAGTCTTTTTGTGTGTTTTTATCTTATATTTCAATGTCATTAGCAGCTGCCTATCTTAATTTCAGACCTTTAGGTTAAGATTTTAAAATATTTTTTATATCAGAAGCAAATTTGTGGTTTCCGAAAGTTGTAGTTGCATTGTGGAATATCATTACTTTGTATTTAGTCTTTTGAAAGCTTGACATTTTTCCTTTGAAACCAGTGGAAGAAATCTTGTATTACTTGTATTGAAAAGGAACAGTATTTAAAGAGACTGTTTGGATGTTTCTACTGATATTTTTCCTAAAGTAGTTCCAAAATGCTTATGCTATGCAGAGATCTGTTAAATTCAGAAGCTGAGTCCAGCTTTCAGCAATTTAATTCTCCATTAATTCTAACTTATCTGAAAAAGATTGAGAAAATAAGCAAGATTTTATATGAAATAATAGGAAACTATCACGAGAAGCCATAAACATTTTGGATGGATTCTCTAAATTTCCTTAATGGGTTTGGATCAAATTCTTCAGACCTTAGAGGTAAAGAAAGATTTTGATGAAACAGGGACAGGAGGGGCTGGCTAGATTTTTTCCTAGCTATAAGGGTTAACAATATTAGAAGCTAAATGGAAGAAATTTAGGCAAAGATTTTTTATAGCTCAGAAAAAAGTCAGGAGGTAGAGCCAGAACATACTACAATGATTATCTGTTATGACTGTTTCTTCAGAGGAGTTTTCTTTTTGCTTGCTAGGTCTGTGGAAGATGGGGAGCGGCCCTTTGCACTAGGAATGCAGTTTGTTTTATTACGAACTCTTGGTAAGTCTTACAGTTACTCACCATTTCCATAAAGGCTCACCATATTTGGCTTAAATGTACCATAAAAGTACTAAAATTCCATAAATCTGCAACTAATGGCCTGACTAATTGTATTAGGAATCTAAAATTAATAGCTTCTGAAAACATTGTAGCTGATAATGTATTTAATTTTCTTTTTTTGTTGTTACTGACTTTCTAGAACATTTTTGTCTCAGAAAGATATTTTTAGTTTCAAATTTTATTTAAAAATTAATAGTTACTAAATATTATTTTATAAGGATTTTTCTTTTTTAGAAACAGATTTTTATTGCTTTCAGCAATAACAATAGCCTTTTGCATTTTTTAAATAAGAAGCAATTGTTACTTAATATCTAATTTCAAATGTTTCAAAGCAAAAAGGGTACATGTTAAAAGTCTTTATTCCACAAAGTAGTTTCTTTCAAGCTCTTGAACTTCTAAAATCCTGCCTATAAAGAACACTGCAGGTGTTCAGCTACTACGAATCATATGACTAGAGCAAGCATAGGACTATTCTAAGAGAACAAGAGGAGAAGCCTGTGTAGCTGCATCTAGAAGTTTTCTTTGAGAAAGGACGTTTCTGACTTGTATTAAAGGTGTCGTATTTCTGGAGAAAGCAGGAGCATTCAGTGGGCTGGCTACATTTTTAGCAACCTTAGAAGTTAAAGTCTGTTTCTGAGGAAGATCTATTCAAAAGAAAATTTACAGTTTTAGTGACCTCACTGCTTCCATCCATCTTCAGTAAGAGAAACATTTTGCAGTCTTTGGGGTTTTTTCTCCTTAATTTAAAGTAGCAGCCCCCACCCTTTCCCAGCTCACGGGCAATGGATGTTCAGCAAGTAATGCTCTGGAGATAACGTTGTATTTTGTTCCTCTCTTGTATTTTATTTCCTGAGAGCAACATTGGATTTTCTTTTGGGGGACACATAGTTCAAGAAGAGCTGTCTGGGGACAGCAGATTGAAGCAGTACCTGTTGTAAGGTGCTGCTGCATTGCCTTCTTTCTTTGCTTGAATTCTTTCCCATTTGTGGTATGTTTCATGTGTGGGATAAGTAGCGTTGGTGGGAAGATCGGCTGACCAGTTTTCCATGTTTCACATTTCATGGGAGAACAGCAGTGTAGAAATCTCAAAACTTCTCGACCTACACTGTTTGGCTAAGGCATATAGTTTCTTTAGAAGTTTTCCACTATATATTAACACATATTATTTCTATTGCTATTTTTATTTCAGCTTACATTCCCACTCCAATTTATTTTGGGGCTGTTATTGATACCACGTGCATGCTTTGGCAACAGGATTGCGGCGTACAAGGATCTTGTTGGGAATACGATGTCACCTCGTTTCGTTTTGTCTACTTTGGGTTGGCAGCTGCTCTCAAGTTTGTGGGATTCTTTTTTATTTTCCTGGCCTGGTATTCCATTAAGTGTAAAGAAGAGCAACTGCAGAGACAGAGATGGAGGGCTTCGCCGGTGAACACTGTGAGTGAGATGGTTGGCCAAGCTGGACCCCCACAAAACTATGCACGGACTAGATCCTGCCCTACCTTCAGTTCCCGAGGAGACATCAGTGTGGCACAAAGAATGAACTGCATAGCACAGACATACCCCGGCCCTTTTTCAGAAGCAATAAATTCCTCAAATGAAAATGCGTTGGAAGAAGTCACTGCTGAGATATAGACCCCTGGCTTGGTAATGTAATATTTAGTTTTGTTGGTTGACTTAATTACGGCGCCTTGTAAAACACCTGTGCCTTCTATTTTTAATCTAAATATAACACGTGATAAAACCAACAAAGCTTAATGCAAACAACCATAGTATGTTCCTGAGGGCTGGATACCTCAAACCAACCCAAGTTCTTATTTCTCCCCTCCTGACAATGGAGTTTTAAAAATTGTGTTTGTAATTCTTTCAGATGTGTCCATTAAATGTCCATGCTCTGATCTAATATCAATGTAAGGGTGAGGTATTATGAACAGCAGAAGTCAGTGGAAGAGTGACAAAAACTCATATTGTTGATGTCTAGATGTCACAAAAATGCTTAAATGTATCGTCAACTTCATATCCGCAAATCGTATTTTTAAGAGATGAGTAATTACTGTGAGTTCTGCTACAAAGCACAACTGAACTTGTTTAAACTATGCAACTTATTTGGACTATTGTATGTGCAGCAAATTAAGTTTAAAGTTTGCTTTTAAAGACATTACTGCAACTGAATTTGAAAGGGGCTATTTTCAGACATAACCATTAAATTAAAAAAGTACATAAGGTTTAAAGTACTGTTATTAACATGTTAAGCCATACAAAAGTTATGCATCAGGTAACATTTGCAAATGTGGAGTCGTAATATCTTTATCCTGTCAAAAAGTGCATTAATTTTCATTTGATGGAAGGTAGTCATTCTTCACAAAGTACACAGGCTAGGAAAGTATAATACTTGGAGTAAAAAACTTCAGTGTTAATTTATAACAACATTAAGATGTAGGAATCACACACACATACCAGAGCAGATATGTGCATATTGCTGTAATGTTATTTGAGTGGCCGTTACTAACGCCAAATCCATACTTTTTCTGAAGAAGAAAATAACCAGTTATAGCTTGATAGGAAGAGCTTGGCTGTCTTTCAGAAACACGTGCCAGTCTAGTTCAGCTTCAGTGAAAAAATCTCGAGGGAGAGCTGCTGGCTTCATTTCATGTCTGAGTGGCCGCCTGGGACCCGGCGGGCCCCTCGCAACCAGCAGCGGCGCGGGGTCGCTGCCTGCTGCAGGATTGAGCCCTTCAAGTGGGCTGCAAGCAACCTGCCTGCCGCGGTGCCTGGTACAAGGCTTTCCCCTCTGCTCCTGGCACCGCTGGGGTGCTGTGCTCCCCGCCACGAAGGACAGCTGGGGAGGGGAGGCCGGCACAGACCCTGGGTCCCTCTCATTTCTGCCCCACTTCTGCCTCTCCCACTGCCAGGTGCGGGGCAGGCTGGTGGGACAGGCCTGGAGGTCATAGTTGCATGGGTTTGTCCCACACGTGGCCTCCTTTCCTTTTCTCAGCTTCATTGAATGCTTCTGTGAAGGCAAAGGGCAAGTTGTCTCTCCTTTGCTCTTCCAGGGGAAGAGCTAAGAATAGAAATTGTCTGCAAGCATGGACCCATGGGACGTGATGTGGCCTTTTCTTATTCCAAATTACTGTAGTGTGCTTTCTTCCCCAGAGATGCTGAGACTTTCTAATCAAATGTACTTGGCATCTCATTTCTTACTCTGGAGGCTTTGTAGTGCCATGCTTATGACATACTAATGATGTCTCACAGGGCAGAGAATGATTACAGGTGGACACTAGGAAGTCAAAGTTGTATTTTGCCCTGCAGAGAGAGTCTTAGAGGTTTAGGAAATTAAAAGCGCTCTTTTAAGAGGACTCAGTGATAGGCAGGTTTGGATTTTGCCATGTGGGGGGCTTGTGTGAAAATAAATAGAAGAGAGCAGAACTCTGCATATTTTTGAACAGAGTTATTCCTGGTTTAATTTTTAATTTGTCAAAGATTTAATTTATCAATGATCAAACATTATATGGAACCAAGTCCTTGAAATTAAAGACAGTACTCTCCTTGGCATCCATTGAGTTGTCCTGGGAAGAGTAGATTTCCCTCTTTCTCCTTTGCTGGCTGCCTTACTTCATCTCCTGGCTCTCCTTGACCAGCACATGGGGCTACCCACCAGGCTGGTTCCCCTGCTTGAAATGGTGGCTGCTTATTTCAGAATGTCTCAGTCCATTTATGTGGCTTGTAACAATTTCCACTCTCTGTGGCTGCAAACTCAAATGCTTCTACTCTAAACTACAATGTAGAGGAATATCATTTTAATCACCTTCTGCTATTCTATACATATCAATAGCTTTTTGGGATCAAGCCACCGGACACAATACATCCTCAGTCCAGTGCCACTTGAGATGTTAGCTTCTACACTTCTCATCCCAAGGAATAAATTTCCTTGGATCAAAGGTATTGGGTATATTTTTTTTTTTGCCGTAGGAGATCAGAATAGATGATAAAAGTGTCTCCTTTTGCTCCAGTCTCAAATGCTTCTTGCACCAAGTAATTCCTGCCATGGCAAAAATTGAGGCAAAGTAGTAGGACAAAGTGTAATTGCAGCCCATCACCCATCCATTTTAGTCACTCACCAATTTTAATCGGCACAGGATGACATGAAGAGCGACAATCTTTTCAAATACCTCAGAAACAGAGCATTTAGGGAATTGTAAAAGGCTGGAAATGAATCATCTATCCTGATCTATTCTGTTTCATGCCTTGCGTGCACTTCAGTTCCATGCGAATAACAAGGGAGAACAGATTAGGCTTGTAGGATTGTCAGGAGCTGACACTGATGGCAGAGGATGAGAGTGATAGAGGTGACACATCTGCAACTGCTGCAGCTTTGGAGCTGATTTCAAGGAAATTCAGAGCTTGTTGGAATGGAGACCACCTGCTTTTTAGGAAATCCTGACACACTTCTAAAAACGTTCGGTGTTTTGAAATGTTTGAGAAACTGGGACGTAGAGGTAAAGGTGTTCACTTTGGAAATACTGAAAAAGCCTTGTTTACATACTTTCAATAGCCTTTTAATTTTCCTTTCGAAATTATATGCAAAACACAAAACATAAAAAAATCATTAGTATTTTTTGATGTAGATAATTTTGACAATACGAACATATTTCTACAAAATCACTTAATTAAATTAGCATCCTCTGAAAGAAATAAAACCCAAACTCTGGCCAGTTTTTGATTGATTCCTGAAGAAGGCTTTATTGTGAGTAAGCTATAACAGTCTAAGCCAATAAAGGCACGCAGGGGAAACACATTAACTTCCTAAAGAAGTCAGTTCCAGCATTGTCAACATTGACTGAAATATGGACTGAGACCTG